TGGCCCTCTTCCTATTGAAAAAACAAAAGTTGTATCCAAGATGGCCGACTTCTAAATGGCCACCATGGTCACCGCCCATCTTGAGGAGTTTGCCTCCCCCCACATATACTAATGTGCCACGAACAGGACTTTAATATCACCAACCATGTTATTACGGTGTATCCATATAAATGGTCCACCCTGTAGATACGAATGCATGCACTTTCTGCAATACTGATATTAAGACTACAGAGCATCTTTTTTATTCACGTGAAAGTTCCAGATCTTTTGGGGATGATTTTCAGTACTGGCTAACCTTCATAAATATTGACTGCCCTTCTCTAACCTTTCAAGTATTAGATTATAGTTGCAAAATTTTTCATTCACAAACGTCGCTTATTGAAAATTACTCCAATTTTTGCTGGATTTAAAAATGAAGTGTTGCTGTGGAAGGCTTCATTAGACAAGTGTAACTTAAATAAAGCTCACACCTTACTTGATTGTATGTGCGTACTTTTGTTTTTTACTTTTATATGATAGATCACCTTACTGTACTTGTATGCTGCTTTATGGTATTTCTGACCTATACTGTTCTTTTGTTCTTTATTCGATGGCTGCTTTGTTCTTAACCACTCGTACCTGTATGTAGCTTTTTGTTGTCATGTAAAATGAGTGCTGTAATTGTTATTTTGGTCAAAAACAAAAAACAAGTTAGCTCAGTGAGCTGTGCTCTGATTGGATAGTGACTGTGTGAGCGAGCATGTGTGACCTCTGACCTCTGGGTTCAGGTTCGACACCAGCAGCACCGAATGGACAGCAGGAGGCGCCATCTGCAGCGAGACGCGAGGATGAGACACTAGCGAGCCGGGGACGGCCGCCATGGACAGACCTGAGGACGGAAAACACCAAAACTTTATTTCAGTGGTTTCCATATTCACACTCAGCGCATCCAGCAGCCGGATTATTAAACATGGACTCGTCTTAAAACATGTAAATGTCAATGGTCAAAGGTGATGTTCATGTGCAACTCACCTGTGTGTTGGTGGAAAGTGGGTGGGAATGCCGCTGCTCCATACGGAGGCAAAGCTACACCTGAAACACACATACAGGTTAGCTCACAAGCCCCGCCCCCATACAATGACTCTGAGGTCTGCATAGAGTTATAGAAATGACAGCTGCTGGTCAGTCGAGGTGTGTGCGCTTAATGAGTACGGACTTGCAATTTGTACAACTGAAACACCAGCGTACTTTTTCTGCCGTCCCCTCTTAATTTAACTGTGACTAATATGTTATGAAGCTTAACTTTAATCTCAGCCAACTCGATTTACTCAGGAACAAATGAAACACTGAAAAAAGCCAAACATTAACATTTCAAAGTTATCTAAGAGACCTATATATCATGTTTAACCTGAGTAGCAAAAGACCGCGGGGGGGTTGAAAATGATGTGCTGGGAATCCGCTGTTCTCGCCGGCTCTAGTGATCCTCGACCTCCCAGTCTGTTATGGAGCTGGTGGGTAACAGACGTCTCCGAAGACATCGGAGGGAATTTTTCGGCTTGATGCGTACTTTGAACTGGAACAGTACTTGGTCTCTGACTGATGACTTATCACGAGTACACGAGAACACAAGTACGCAAAAGTATGCATATTGAGACAGGCCCTTACTCTTACCAAAGGTGGCGGCGGGCTCTAGCTCTCCGCTTGGCAGGTCGGCTCTGGTGAAGTCCCGACTCTTGTCGTTGTTGTACTTCACGTTGAGCACGCTCAGTTTGGAGAAGTCAATCCTCAGCGTGCAGCAGCCGTTATAGATGTTCTGACCGTCTAGAGTCTGACAGACAGAAGGACACATACTGTGATCTGACTGGACCCGCACCAGTTCAGACCTAGAACTGGAGCTGGATTTCTAAATATGTGTGTGTGTGTGTGTGTGAGTGAGAATGTGTGTGTAGGTGTATGACTCACAGCCTTGGCGTGCTGAGCATGCACGGTGTCGCTGAACTGCAGGAGAGCCTGAAACTGGTTGTTTCTGGTGAACGTGATGATCTTCAGCACGGAGCCAAACTTACTAAAGATCTGTGGAAAATTTTTATTAATACCACCAAGAACTGTTAGACAGGACATGATAATAAAAACTTCAATAATAATAACAATAATAACACTGATGATATCTGCAGTCCTGACCTGCTGGAGAACCTCCAGAGTCACAGGGTAAAATAAATTCTCCACAATGATTCTCAGGACGGGACTCTGACCTGGAGCTATGCCCCGGCCCTCCCCACCTGAAGCCATGTTCCCAGAGTGCACTGCTCCTGCATTCATGGCCTGCAGCGTTGCCTGAGCCCTCTGTCAGCAAACAAACATCTTATTGATTGTTTAAAGGACCATCTCGCTGCTTTTTGTAAACAGATGACAGATCAAACTTCAAACAAATAAACAGACACCATGGGTGGGGCCTGAGCTGCTGCTCCTCACCTGATTGGTCATATTGTCAGTCTTGAGCTCGCGATGGGTGGAGTACTGAATGTAGACTGGCTGGCTCCTGATGGAGGGAGTGGCTGAGGTGTAGTAGTTCACCATGGTAACAGCGGCTTCTTCTGACGCCATTTCTAAAAACGCCTGAAAAGAAAAAAACGATTACTTAAAAATTTCACGTGTTCCTCTCTGTGTGAGTCTGTCACGGTGGGACGTCTTTTCTAAGCTAACATTAGCTAGAGCTGCTCTCTGTAGAAAATCTGTCCATTCACACAGAAGGAAAAAAAAAAAGATTTGCTTGGATCATGTGACAACAGTCAGGTGTAAACAAAATAAAGCAGTGAGGGAGCAGTACAAAAGCCTTTCATTATTTTAATCCACGCTGAGATGAGACCACAAAGGATACTGAAGAGAACACAAAGCCTCAGCCATCATGTGTTTGACTTTCACTACCTCACAAATTGCACAACACAGTGAACCACAGTGCTATGCAGAAGTCTTGAACCGCCCCTTATTTCTGACCATTTTCAGGAAAGACAGTTTTTTGTTTGTAAACCCGCTCTCTGTGAGCCATTCAAGAATGAAAATGCTCCAAACACAAAGAATAACAAGTGACTATGCACAACAGAAAGCTTAGTGAGGAACCAGCTTTAAATAATTTTAGACTCTTTGTTACTCGCCTGTTACAGCCTGTCATAAAAACACCACACAGTGGAAGATTGGCTTAGACTAGGGCTGGACGATTTTGCATAAAATGAGAATCACGATTTTTTTGCTTAGAATTGAGATCACGATTCTCTCACAATTTTCTTTTCCAATATAAATATTTATTGCACTTATTAACTGCAGATCAACTTCGTAACAGTTGAGACTGAACATAAAAACAATAAATAAACATAAAAACAACAAATGTCTCACATTTTGTCATTGCCGGAAAATGTTATACTGCTTGAAGTGCCGTCTCCACTGTTGCTCGACACTGCGTGTATAGAGCAGGTAGTGCAACAATAGAAAAATAGTTGCGGGACGGCACTGTGTAGCGTCTAGGGTGTTGATCATTTTCCTAAATCCCTCGTTTTGCACAGTGTTGATGGGGGCCATATCTTTGGTCAGGCGATAAGTAATAGCCTCCGTAATTTCTTTGTGTCTGTAGGAGTTCGACGGGTATAGGGAAGCGCTGTATAAGGTTCCCGTTATTGATGTTTGGGTGGTTGACCGGGACGTGTTCTCCGTTGTTTTTTCCCTGCCAATTTTAGCAGCCAGCTTCTGTATCACGTGGTATAAGGCTCCGCCCTTGTCATTTGTTGAGCAGGAAGAGTGAGCGCTTGTTTTCATGCAGATTACGTCCCGGATCAATATGCGGTACAATCGTCGTCGTCTTTTTTTTTTCTTTTAATCGTTGTCATTTGGAAATGAGATCGCACATAAGTATGAATTGAGATCGCGATTTTCTAACGATTAATCGTGCAGCCCTAGCTTAGACCCTGCCTAACATTCACATACACTTGTTGCGCTCTGATGGATGTATCGTGGGTAATTTAGGGTTCAGTATCTGTGTCCCGATACTTCCACATACCTCAGAGCAGCTGCGGGTGGAACCATTTATCTCTGCACAGGTTTCACTGAACCGATTTCCCATCGTTCCATCAAAATACAAAGAAATGAGGGCTGACTTGAAACTTTTGCACAACACCATATTACAACACAAGCTGAAATAAGAGTTCAGCTCTGGTGCCATGACTCACACCTGAAACATGTCATTACTTGTTTCCATGAACATGTCACTGTTAGTGTCGGAGCCATGAGATGATTATTAAAATAACTTGTAGTGTCCAATGCATCAATGAAGGATTATTTATCTCTGGATGAGAGGTCATCTGTAAGAACCTGAGAGGGCACTAAAGCAATGAGAAGCCATTAAAAATAGACAATCTGAGTCACATGCGGCGTGATGACATAGACAAGATAAAATACAAATAAACAGTATGCTGGTTGGCTCAGCTGGAGCTCTGCATATACAGGGTACAATCATATTAACTGTTTTTACTAAGAAACAAAACTGACATGCCCATTTTCCCACTAAATTTGAATTCAACGAAGAGGTGTTGTGGGTAGGGCTGCCACAAACGATTATTTTGATAGTCGACTAGTCAGCAATTATTTTTGCGATTAGTAGACTAATCAGATCATGCATCCATTGGATGGACGTACAGCTTATTGCACCAGCAGCATCTGCTCTTATATAACTATCATTAGCTTACTGCTTTAAGTGTTTAAGGTATGTGCTAACTAAAAATAAAGACAAGATGATAGTTTATTAAATTTTAATGAAATCTGCAGGTTGTTTCAGTGAAGTTTAATAAACTCAGCCGTTTGTTTCTTGCTATCTAAAATATAACGGGACACCGGAGTATATTCTCGAGCATCTCACACTTCTGATAATCAGTTGTCTGCGTGTAAAAAACTATAACTTTAATCTCAGCCAAACCAATTTACTCAGGAACAAATAAAATACTAAAAAAAGCCAAACAATAACATTTTTAAGTTATCTAAGTGACTTATATATATTTAACCTGAGGAGCGAAAGATGGCGGTGGGTTTAAAAACGATTTGCCGGGAGTCCGGTGTTCTCACGGGCCCTAGTGAGCCTTGCCCCCGGCTAACTATCGAGCTAGTGGGTAACAGACGTCTCCGAAAACGTCGGAGCACTTTTGCAAATATGTGGTGTCTTGATAAACTGAGCAGATATTTGAGGTTTACACAGTTACATTCTCGCCTGAAAATATGTTAAACGTTAATTTTGTGACCCAGAAACAGTAATAAGAGTAATATTAAAACTAACTAGCTGCCGCCATTGTTGGAAACTGAGCTGGGCTGCGCTATGAATTCTGGGACACAGCTACTTCTTCTTCTTCGGGATTTAACGGCAGCTGGCATCCTTGTACATGCATTGCTGCCATCTTCTGTTTCAGTCCGTTATTACACTCTTAAGTCCTACTACTTATTCCTGCGTCTTTTGGGATCTTACAAAGCTTCAAACGACGTGTCGACTATTAAATCAGTCGTCGACGATTTTGATAGTCGACGTAATCGTGACTAGTCGACTAATCGTGGCAGCCCTAGTTGTGGGCGGGAATTCATTTTGCTCCATCTCTCCGCTCCTTCACTCTGATGTCCAGAGGCCTGCGCTATGAAGCAGGATTTGCTCTTATCCATGTGACTTCAGGTTTAACTCTTTTTTTCTGTGTTACAAAGGTGGTTCACTTTTTACTGGGATATATCGCTATGGTTACTTATGCTGCAACAGACTATGTTCCAGATTACACATCAACAGGTGTGAAACTCCCACCTACTGACTAATCAATTCTCTTGAAAACAGCATCGCCACTCCTGGCAGAGCCATCAGACTGCTGCGCAGAGTCTCTCTCGCGGAGAGGGTTGGACCAAGTGACCCTGAATCCTCCCGTAGTTATGATGCAATAGGTGTAGGCTGCTAGGGGAATCCCATTATGCACTGAGTGTTTCTTCTTCACTCACTATGTGTTAATAAACCTGAAATTAATCATTAGTTATTATTAATCTCTGGCTCTCTTCCACAGCATGTCTTTGTCCTGTCAAACCGGTCGCTGCACATGGCCACCCCTGCCTGAACCTGTTTCTACTGGAGGTTTCTACCTGTTAAAAGGGAGCTTTTCCTTCCCACAGTCGCTGAGGTGCTTGTTCATAGGGGTTGCTTAATTGTTGGGGTTTTGTCCGCAGTATTGTAGAGTTTTTATTTTACAATATGTGAGGTGTGAGGTGACTGTTTGGTGCTGTACAAATAAAACTGAACTAAACTGAATGTCTCTGTGCTTCCCCAATGAGCATCAGTATAAACATAGATTGTTAGATGCAGCTTTACTTCTTTTCTTTTTTTTTACCCGTTTAATGCAAACAAGTTACAACAATGTTATTATAGTATTAAATGGACTAAATCTGAAGTTGATTCAGTTGAATGAAATAGTCTAAAATCTGTGATGATTTTATCAGTGAGAGCTGATCTACAGTTTGCAAAGCGTCTTATTTTCCTAGACATCAAAAGTGCCTGGCACGTGTTCATCTGTCTGCTCTTCTATTCCTCCTAAGAAGTTACATTTTGTCGAATTTATGAGAAACAGTGCCATTTCCAAAAGCCTTCCATATTCTAAACAGATACCTTCCAAACTCGTCCCGCCTTTGTAGACAACTTATTTCTTCTGATTGGATGTCATCTTGTTTTTATTATTTGACAAAAGTCTCGATACATTTTATCATCATTTTCATGTTTCTGCACAAGCTTTTATTTAGATATTGCCTTGTTTTTGTCAGAAAAAAACATTTCAGTCGCACATTCACACAGTCACATTTTAACTGGCGTTCTTTCCAGGCTTTAAATAGGCTAACCGAAGCATTTAAAGCACTCACGCCTTCATAAAGCGCTGGTCCTCCACCACTACTTTCGTTAAGCAGGCATCTGTATACTGTGTTCAATCTTGTTAGATTTTTTCTCATATTACAGCTTTATCTCCCTTTGCAGCTTGGTGTGACTGCTTATCCTGATTGCAGATGTTAGGGTAAGTGAATCCAGACGATGGAAAGATAGGTGGGTACAACTCACGTTGGGCGTTGGGGGTGAGGGAGGGGAGACAGGATAGTGAGGGTCTATTGTAGGGTCTTTACCTTACGACATGTTGTGATTTGGTGCTGTATAAATAAAACTGAACTGAAGTGAATAACAAAGGGCCTTCTTGTGGCTAACTAAAGAGCTATATAATGACACACGGTGATTACTCACTCAGTACAACCTCACAAACCCCCACACAGCTACCAAATGTGTTAGTAATAAATTTGGATGCAAGATGGCGTCGCAAGCAGTTGCAGCGGAACGCCGCTCTGGACAATTTAGTGGCTTTCTTTTTATTTTGTGTATTTTTATTTCACTTTTCCTCCAATTAGCAAGAGCACATGTGCTGTACAGTAAAACTGAATTGCTCAGGGTTCTAAACCACATAAACCTGCACACTTTCACCAGCAATGACTTAATAATAATAAAGAACAGGTTAGGAGGAATTCAGACAGTTGTGTACTGCACACCTTGCTGGCATCGTTAGCGCTCACCTGATTCTTTGTCTTCAGCGTGATCAGCTGACTAACTCGACCAAAGGGAAGCGCCAGAGAAAGCACTTCCTGTTCAGAGACGTCAGGGGGAAGCTGACGCAGGTGAAGGACCCGAGATGGGACGCACTGAGCACGCTCTGAAACACACAGTCTATCAGTGCCATCCACTGCAGATAGACAGAAACAGACAGGTAAATTATGATGGGAAAGGTTCAGGTGGGAGGAGCTTCACTTTCATAGACTTTCATAGACTCACCTGTGGACAGGTGAGAGGAGCTCATGTTCTCAGAGCTGCTGACAGACGAGCTGAACTCTGACTCCTGGAAACAAACACAATAATCAGTTATTGAAATATCAAAGTTATATCACATTTCATCAATTTACTGAATTTCCCGGAGGAACCCACGCGAGGGATTAATAAAGTGTCATCTAATCTAATCTAATTTATTAATGAATTTATCAAATCAGCAGCACATGAACCTCCATATTTGAAATCCTGTGTCTTCTCTTGCAATTTTTTTTTTGAGACGTGATTGATCTTTAAAGCCTGTTTCCTGAGAAAGACTGCAGGAGATGATTGATGACTTCTTCATTTTCAGCTCTGAGCTTTTTTTTAACTTTACCGCTAACATTTTAACCATTATCCTCTTCCCGGGATCAGTTAAAGAAGCTTCGGGCTCTGCTGGCGACATTTTAGAACCCCAAAGTCGAACTAATCAACAGAAAATGAAAGTAATTCCTCTCTGTTTGTACAGTCTGCTCTTTGCGTGAACACGCACATATCGCGAGATTTCAGGTAATAAAACACCGCGGCTGTCGCTACTGTTGCCCCGTGACACTTTCACGCCGAGCCGAACAGAACAGAACAGAGTTGCACAGCACAGCACAGCACAGCGCAGCGCACGAGCAACTAAACAGCGCGCAAGGAGCAGGAAAACGGAGCTCTGGGAGAGCGTTTCAGTAAACACCAACAACAAACAGGCAGGGAGGGGCGCGCCTGAGGCTCGCGCAGGTGCGGTTCAGTCACCAAGGAAACGAAGGGAGGAAGGAAGGTAAAAGTGCGGTGGGAACGGTTCCGAGAAGGTTCGGGACGGTTTCCCGTTCTCACCCGTCCATGATCCGTGCTGAGGAAGAGGAGGAAGCGCAGCAGAGAAGGAGTTGTTTTGGTCCGTGAGCCTTCGCAGCCAGGCAGCCACCAAGGAGAACAACGAGCTCACTTCCCGTTTGGTGACGTCACGACAGAACATGGCGTCTGGAGGACACACCTCAGATAAAAAGATATACAATAATTATAGTAACAATTAAAAGACTTAAGAATAAGTCACATATATTCATTGTATTTAAAACAATATCAAATACATGTACACGTAAAAATACTTTTACAAACAGATAAATGTAAAAAGATTTTACAAAACGACATTTAAAAGAAAATGCATGTTTTGTATGTAAAATTAACATAAATTAAAATGAGAAATAATTCCTGAAATATGGAATAAAATAAAAAGTACTTAGTTTATTATATTCTTTTTCAAAGCAACATAAATAAAATAAATTTAAAATTGCTTATCAATTACAACTCCATTAAACACATTAAATAAATGTAATTTCTGCCTTAAATTCAAAATATGGTATAAATCTAAATAAATACTAATATAAATTGCTTCAAGTAAAATAAAAATGTAATTTATAATAAAATACATGTTGAAATGTATTAGGCCTTCATTCATGTAAAATAATATGTGTTTGAAAAAATCTGAAATTCTACATTTGAAAACAATCGCAAAAATTATTGCAATGCAATTCTACCAGTTTTGGCAGCTTTTATGAAAATAGAACAAAAAAAGATCTACTCCTTTTATTTAAAAAAAAAAAAAGGAAGCACTTTTTTCACACTTTTTGTTGAACTCCTGAGTGTTCTTGTTTGGGTGCTTAATATTTAAAGGGGAGAGCAGTGTTGTACTATTTTAGACTGTCATATTTGGTTTCCCTGCCATGGCTGTTCCACATTGGACTACCACCTCTAGTATTAGTATATTTTGGAGAAACTAATCGGACTGTTGTCTGAAGTGTAATCCTTTTTCTTTTTTCTTAACTTTATCTGACTGAAGACAGACCAGCTGTAGCCACTATGACATCACCCATCTACTGTACAGACACAGATACCTGCTAAATGCTGAATTGTAGAATTTCACTCATCAGAACTCCACCTCAGACTCTTTTAATGTCTGTTAGTACATTTGACTCCACAGCAGATTTTATAACACTATTTTTTTTAAAAAGCTCCAACAGCTCAAACAAGGTCCACAGGGACTCAAATTAGCTGAGGTGAAGTCTAGCAGGTAGCTAGAAACTACAGCACCTGTCTGAGGACCACCCCTAATAATGCAAACTCTAAGCCTCAATACAGTTTAATCAGGTGAGTTATAAAGGTGAAGATGTAAGGAGCAGAATCTGATGGTGAAGGTAGTGTTTAATTACCCAGAGTCAGCCATCCAAAGCAACACAAGGAAGGTGGAGTGGACAGAGATGAGTGGGTGATGTATGAAAGGGAGAGTTGATAAGCTCGTAGTGAAACCTGCTGTGATGGATGGTTCAGGGACGGTGGCACTGATTAAAAAGGCAGGAGGGTGAGCTGAAGATGTTAAAATCTCTTCTTTTGGTGCTGAGCAGGATGGGCAGGGTTAGAAAAGGGCACATGAGCTCAGGCTCAGCGGTTTGGAGACAAAGTCTGAGGTGAGGCTGAGGTGTTTTCGACATTAGACCTCAGACATTTGATGGATGTACTGAAGGAAAACATGCAGAGAATTGGTGTTTGAGGCCCCTAAAGGAGCGACTAAAGAGGAAACAGGTGAGTTATACATGTAGTTCTGAAGAGGACCCTGGACAGACACCAAACCTCCTTGTATCAGTTTGTAAACATCAGTGACAACAGTGAAAACTGTTCCCTGTGTCCTTTTTGGTCTAATTGTTTTTGTTTTGTGTGCCCAGCCTTGTCAGTCTGTTGGAAGCACATATCTGGGAGGGGATGAACAAACTTCCTTTATTTGTCTCTTGATAAAAATAAAAAAAAATTAGTTCACGGTGCCACAGGTGGACAGTTTGTTCCTGATTTTCATTACATTTCCTGCTCAGACTAGAATTTTTTTTGTTATCAAATATCATAACCCAAGATGCTTAACTCTGTCCAAGCATGATTACAAAAGTATCCTCACTGTCCAATATGTTTCTCCTGCAACATCTTAGCTTCATGGTCACAGTCTGCTCAGCACTGCCACCTTCACCTTCACTGCAACCTTCAAGGTCTTATATTCTGAAACACAGGAACTCTGCCAGTTTTTAGCACAATTCTGTTTTTGATTTCTTGTTTGTTGATTCAACATCTGCTAACTCTTCAGTTATTGGTGCAAACCAAGATTTCAACTCACTTTTACACACACACACACAAAATATAAATGTATGTACATGTATAATTTGTGTGTGTGTGTGTGTGTATTAATAAATGACAAATTAAAAAGGCATGAACATTTTTTTGGATTGAAAAAATACATTTTTATTAATAGAGATTTCACTACTGAGGTTAAACATGATATATAAGTCACTTAGATCACTTCTAAGTGTTTATGTTTGGTTTATTTCAGTGTTTTATTTGTTCCTGAGTAAACCGGTTTGGCTGTGATTAAAGTTAAGCTTCATAACATATTACTCACAGTTAAATTAAGAGGGGACGGCAGTAAAAACTCCGGACCTGTGACATCATCAAGTACGCTGGTGTTCTAATTGTACAAATCGCGAGGACATACTCACATACTTGAGAATTGAGAAAGGGCCTCTGTCTTGCTAGCTTGCACTGCGCTCAGTGGATCTGCACTCCACGGTGCAGCCTAGGCGGAGTAGTCGAACGCAGATCCACTGAGCGCTCAACACAGACAGCATCGTCAGAAAAAAGTTGATAAAATAAATACAAAATGTTGTATTGTTCGATACATATGTGTACCGAACCGAAAGCACTGTATCGAACGGTTCAATATCGATACGAGTATTGTTGCACCCCTGATATATATGTATAATAAATTGGTTACAAGATAGCTTTTAACTTCTTACACAGTGTGTCTTTGTCCTGTCTTCCTCCCCTAACGGCTACCCCTCCCTGTTGTAGGTTTCTTCCTGTTGAAGGGAAGTTTTTCCTTCCCTTTGTTGCTAAAGTGCTTGCTCACAGGGAGCCATGTGATTGTTGGGGTTTTCAGTTTTCTTTGCATTACACAGGTCTGAAAAAAATAAAATAAAAATTCAGCTGCAGTGGCAGTCCTGGCCTGTTTGGCACCCCAGGCGAACACTCCCTCGGGTTGTGTGAGACTTTAAATCATCAAACTGTAAATTATAAATTTTAAATTGTTATTGATCCCTTT